TTTCACGCTTGACCCGGACCCGCGGTCCGACCGCTAAATCTGGTGATGACCCGAAGTAATCCGGTTTGGGTTTTAAGAAATATCCACTAATTAATAACCCGATAAAACCCGGTGACCCAGTTATCGGTTAAACTATCGGGTGAACCAATGAGTTATTTTTATTTAGTTATTTTTAGGTTTTTAACTATTTTATTAAATATTTTTTGTATACCCAAAATAAGAAGTTAGATTTTTACTTTTTAATTTTTAGTTTTCTCATATATTAATGTTTTTCGTGCTATCACATATATTATATATCTCTTTCAGTTTTTTTCTAACAAAAACCTTTTGTTGATTTCTTATGTGGTAAATAACATTTGATTTTAGTTTCCAGGTTCTAAAATTTATCATATAAAGTTCAACTTTACTCTAATCACATGCTTTTATTTTATTTTCTTGATTTTGCATGTTTATAAATAAATAGTGTTTTTGTTAATCAAATTTATTGATCTTATTTACTTTTTAAAAATCATATATAATATTGACTAAACTATTTATTGATTTTGATGAACATTACATTATGTCTATTAAAAATATATATTGAATAACGATAAATATCTAAAACTTATGAAATTTAAGTTTTGTTATGATTTACTATATGTCTCAACTCCGAATGTCTTATATAAAATTGTTAAATAGTTTAATCTAATTTCAAATATTTTATATGTGAAATAAACAAAAATAAAGAGAATAAATTTAAATATTTTCTATGATTTTAAGAAATGTGAAATTTTTCTACTATATTTTAATAGTTAATATATAATTATTTATTAAAATTAATTAATGTATTGACCCATGGTTCACCCGTGGTTGACCTTGTAACCCAGTGACCCGGAAAGGTGTCCGGTTCAGTGTCCGGGTCGGGTTTAAAAACTTTGTAATTCAAAATTTAATTTACGAAATTTATCTATTTTTATTTAGCTCAAAGAGTAATTCTCTTTTAATACAATATAGACTATAATTTGGAAATTATAAAAATATGATAGAATTTTTATTTCTGTTTTCTAATAAAATTTTAATTAATATATAATATTATTATATTATTAATTACAAAATTAATTATTGTGTTATTTTATAATAATATATTTGAACTTTTAGTAAGATTTTGTTAGATTTTTTCTCCACTGATTTTGTTATAACTTAAAATAAAATTAAATAAGACATGTTTGGTATATATTTGATTGATTAATGTAAATAATCAAATATGTCATATTAAGTAATTAATGAAATGGTTCTACTTAAACTTGTTTATAGTAGATAAAAAATGACTATATTTTAATAGAGTAGACTAGATTTTGACCCCCGCTTAAGAAGCACGGGCATTTTTTTTGTTGCCTGTAAAACTAAATATTTCAGAATTGATATTTTGATGGGTCTTGATGGTGTTTTTAAATTTGATTGAGTTGATGGTAAAAGGGGATCGAGATAGCTTGTATTTTTAAAAGCAGAGGGTTGTTGTCAATTTAGGTTAAGAGAAGATATGAAAGAATATTTTGTAATCAATTTAGGTTTTCCAAAATCATGTTAGAAAATATAAGTAGGTAGTTTAGATTTTTTTGGTTGATATAATTAAGGTAAATTAAATAATTGGCCTTGTAGATGAAGTAATTTAGATATTGATCCGCGCTTCTTATATTTTATTGAGCGTAAAGTCAAATATATAATGAGTTTATGTCTATTATTAGATATCTGTAATATTTAAAATCCGTTCTATTATTTTATTTCAGTCTTGTAAAAATTAATAAAACGAATATGGTAAAATATCTTAAAATCAAAAGATTGTTAGTAACCCATTGAGAAGCGCGGTTTCTATTTACGATCATGCACAAACGGGTACTTAATTTTTTTAAAAATTAAAAGAGTTAAATTAACCACCCAAATATTATAAATGATCGATCATATCATATATCCCTAAAATCTAAAAATAGAAATCGAATTGAGAACCAAATGAGTATTTAAATTTTTTATATATAAATTATATACCTAAAATATTAATTATATATAATATCTGAATACTAAATAACCTAAAATACTATTTTAAACCAAATTAGATAAATCAATGAATTACCTGAATATTTTATTAAAAATATTCGACCTATCTTATATTTAAATCGTAGGCTAGTTTACATTTAAAATTAAATAAAAATAAATCATGTAAAATAAATAAACATATCTTATTTAAATCAATTTTTGACCAATTTCGTTTGAATCTCCAACTTATAATGTTTAGACCCCTTTAATTTTTATATATCATAAAATTAATCATTTAGTTCTTGTATAAGAATGTAATATCAAAATTTAATAATTGATTGCATATAATTAGTTAAACCAAAGTGTCATAGTTATAGTATCATGAATATTTATTGTTAGAGAAATTTTATAATACAAAGTAATAAATGAGTTTATTTAAATTGTAAAGTATTTATATAGTTAAAGAAATATAAAGGAAGAAAAAAAAAATGTTAGTCTAATAAAAGGTCCAAATAAATTTTTGAGTAGATTTATTTAGACTCATTCTCTTTTAATAGTATAGATTCATTAGTGTTATGTTTATTTGATTAACAGAACCACAGTTTCTCGTCTAATTTGGTTGGTACTTTTCTCTACATAGAAATTAAAATGCTAATATTGTATTTTCTCTTTAAATGTATTTTATTTGATTTATCTTTTTTTCTAAATGTTCATTCTCATATAATTAATATCGTATATATTTGTAAAGGTTCATAGCAAAGCCAACTTGCAAAATAGTCACTTTGAATCGTGGCATTAATATCTAATCCGTAAGTAGGGGTGTCAAAATGGGTCATGACCCATGGGTTAATCCAACCCAAATTTAATCCATTAATTCAAATGAATTGTTTATTTTTGACCCAATGGATTAATCGGTTAACAGGTTAATGGGTTAACAGGTTAATGTGTTAACAAGTTAATGGGTTAACAAATTAATGGGTCTATTGGGTTGGGCAACCCTCACACATTTAGTTTTTAAGTTAAATCAAAAATTAAAAACAAACCCATTAACTCTAAATTAAAATTGTCTAGTTAGACTCACCCATTACGTTTTCCCGCCAAAATGGCAAAATCACGTTTTCCCGCCAAAACCGCAAAATCACGTTTTCCCGCCAAAATTAGAAAATAATGTTTTACCCGCCAAAACCGCAAAATCACGTTTTCCCGCAAAAACTGTAAAATCACGTTTTCCCGCCAAAATCAGAAAATCACGTTTTCCCACCAAAACCGTAAAATCACGTTTTCCCGCCAAAGCCGAAAACCACATTTTCCCGCCAAAACCACAAAACTACGTTTTCCCGCCAAAACCGGAAATTACGTTTTCCCGCCAAAACCGCAAAATCACGTTTTTCCCGCCAAAACCGAAAATCATGTTTTTCCGTAAATTAGTTAAATCATGTTTTTTCCGCCAAACCGCTTAATCATTTCTCACTAATATCGCAATATTTTTCCCGCCAAAATCATGTTTTCCGGACACCTAAAATCATGTTTAACACTATTTATATTAATTGGATTCTGCAAAAAACCTATTTAAAATGGTTTATTTTAGGTTTGGACAAAGATGTTGGGTTGATAGGTCAATCATTAACCCATATGACCCATTTAATTTAATGGGTTGACCCATGACCCATTAATAGTCAATTCATTCGGATTTTGGGTTAGGTTAACCCATTTGACCCATTTTGACATCTCTACCCGCAACCACAGAACTATAGTCGAAACAAAATCCGATGTATCTTGAGGCCCCAAACGAACCGATACACAAGATAGCAAGATGGTTATACACTTGGACAGACTTCTCTGCGTCAAAGCAAGAGGGAAATCACTCTTCAAAGAAGAGACCCAAGATGGAAATGATGTATTCGACTTTTTAGTTTTGACTCATTTTAAGTATTTTAGTTAAAATGAGTAAATATACATTGTGATGCGTTTTTAGGTTTTAAAATGTATTTTGACTCATTTTAATTTTTTATTTTTGATTTTTGTTGTAACTGTTTTTGTTTTATTTTTAAATCTCATGTGATTATGTATTAATCATTGGTTGTGGTTCCATCTAATTGTTTCTTATTAATTTTGACTGGTTATTAAAAGTTTCAAATCAGAAGAATTGTGACATGCAATGTTGTTACCTCTCTCTCTCTGATGCAGTCGACGGAGCTCACCGGAGAAAAAAAATCCACACCTCTGTGCACCAATCTCTCTCCTTTCTCTGTTTTTGCGGTTAGACCGTTGTAATTGACTATTATATCATCATTAAAAGTTGCAAACACCATCAGTTTGATTTAGTTAGTTGCGATTTTTCATTTAGTCAGTTGCAATTGTTTGTTTAGACATTGTAATAGTTAACTTAAACGGTTGTAAGATTCATTAAATCTCCAACAAATATGATATGAGAAATACCATAAGCAATATAAAAAAATTAACATATAGTAAGAAGTTTTTTGTAACCTAGAGCATATCTAAGCCGAAGCTCAACTAGTCCTCTAAAGGGATAGTATTGACGACTAAAATGACCAAGTGGTAGCAACTTAGTTCCTAACAGAAAAAGATAGTCCAAAACAAAATGTATTCGTTTCAAGATTCTGATTTGTAAGAGTCAAAGCAATCTTTGGAGCCAGTGAAAATAAATTTAAAAGAAAGTTATATATTTGACACCGGCATACTCTTTCGTTAGACAAATAACTAACTAAATGTTTAATAGTCACATAAATCAAAGGTGTTTAGATGGTACCATTTCTTTTACACATAGGTAAGACTATTAGTTATGGGTCAAAGTATTAACTAATGCATTGAAGCATGTATTTATCTTAGAAGAAATGTACACGTTTCTGGAAAGATACATGTCCGTGTGTATATAAAGCAGCTCAAATGTGGGAACAAGACGACACAGTTCATCACGAAAAATAAAAAGTTAAACCATAATAAATTAGAAAAAGAGAGAGAAATCGAAGATGAATGCCACGAAGTTTGTTGTACTTTTGATCTTTATTGGAGTTGTGTGTGCCAATGTTGGCGCTAGGCAGCTCCAAGAAGTGTCCAAAGAGACAAAACTAGGCATCAATACTCCCAAGAGAACCACTGTCAATGGCCTTGGAGCTGAGCTTGACGTTTATGCTTATACTGATGCCTCCAATCAAGAATATTCGGATTCCAGTGCTGCTGCGGGTCCTGGAGGTCCCAGCGCTAATGGATCTGGAAGTGTCTATAAATATACATATGGATCTGTCTCTGCACAAGGTCCCAACGCAAGCGCTTCTTCTGGTAGTGGCGCTAACGGTAGTGCCACTTCTGGTGCTGCAGCGGGTCCCAATGGTGCTGCGGGTAATGGAACTGCTAACGGAAGTGCAGGCAGCGGTGTATATGGCAACACCCCCACCAGCCCTTGAGTAATGATCACCCTCTTAAAATCACAACATATACTCTGGAAACCCAACACAATCTCTTCTGTATTCATAAATAAAACTAGAGATTGTAGCCATTATTAATTATGATATAATGTAAAAGCACTTTGTGGGTGATATTGTCTACTGCATACGATATAAATACAACAATTATGGCCTAAACAATCTCTGTGAATAATATACAAAATATACGTCCTTGTTTAATAAATTAATTTTGTTTTCTCTCTAATTTTTTTTTCTTTTGTAATATCTAATATTCATACATATATGATAAATGACGTCAAAAAAGTGTACACATGTTAAGTTTTGACTTTAGGTATGAAAACTAAAAATTCTTTAAAAAACTTCGAATCGATATTTGGAAAGGATTGGTTTTATTGCATAATACAGAAATTACATGTAGAAAAAGTGTATACATGTCAGATATTTATTCAAGGTATGTAAATTATAGCAAATCTAAAAAACTATGAATCAATCTACAGTAAAACATCTATAAATTAATAATTTTAGGATTTTGAATTTTTATTAATTTTCGAGATATTAATTTACAAAAATTTCCTTTTTTGATTTTTTTTATTTTAAAATATAATTATTCTAAGATAAAAATATATTTGATTTTAGTGTACAGACATTAACTATAATTTTGACATTTATATTAATTTTATTATATTATTTTGCGTATATAGTGTAATACATATAATTTAAATGTGGATTTAGACATAATATTACTAAATATCATCAAAAATATATTAAGTGTTAAGAAAATTTAAAGATAATTTTATTGTGAATATAAAACATACAATATGATGATAGACTCTTACTTCTATAAAATATGTATATATATATATATAAATTATTAATTTATAATTTTAATGGAACCATGTATTTATATATTATTTTCTTAAAAAATATTATTTTAATATTTTATCGATTTATGTTAAATTTTGAACCAGCTCAACTGAGACTAAGAAAAATTATTAATTTATAGAGATTAATTTATCGCGTATTAATTTATAGAGATTCTACTGTATCTGGATGATATGTTAACTATTTCAAATCATTTTTATAATTTGGACTAAGATTTTTGATTCGGTCTTAGAAAAAACTACTTAATGTTTTCACTATAAATACAATATAATAGTTGAAAATTCCATAGTTGAGACTTGAGAGGGAAGAAAAACACATATTCGTAACTTTTCAGAATTTTTTTTAATAATTAAGTACATGGACGGACATAAGAAATTTGGGAAAGTATTCTCATACATCCTAGTTAATTTTTTATTTATTTCTTGTTACTCCATCTTTTTACTAACTGCCCCATTTTTTCTCCTTCCCTTCCAACCCTTTCTTTTTTTAATATATTGTTTTTTTTTTAAAGGGACTCTCAACTATTTTTGTTTTTCAAAAATAAATTGTTTTCTTGTTCATGTGGATCCCATCATATTTTTCTTGACAAATAATTGTTTCCATGGTTTTATGAAAAAACAGTAAAAACTATGGGAACAATTTTTTTTTCAAATCAATTTATTTTCTTTAAAAAATATTATATAAATTATTTCAACAATATTTCAAAAATACAGTTAATAAAATATGTATTTCAATAATATTTTATGCATTCAAAAATATATTTAATAAAATACTTATATATACTTAGGTTATAGAAAAATATTTTAAAAATATAAATTTAAGAAAACATGTATTTCAATAATATTTTAATCAACCATTACTTTTTAAAATGATATAGTTCTATTTAAACTTTAAAATTATTTATAAAATGCTTTGGTTTTATAAATAATTTATATGTCTTAAAATATTTTGACTAAATAGATGTATTTATTAAGAGCATAAATCCGTTCAGATCATTTTTAATCTTTCTGAAAAGTATCAAAATTACATTCTTCTTGAAACAGAAGGATATATATTATTCTATATAAATTTGAAGATTAGATAATATATTTATATTTTTATAAATGTTTATGTGGACTACTAGTATTACTAGGACTACTTTGTACTACCTTGGATTACTATGTATCATACATATTTGTAGAATTTTATATTTTGGCTTATTATATATTTTAAATTGGTTTTTGTGATTAAACAAACTTATAAAATATACATAATTCATTCGGATATATTCTCATAATCCGTAGAAACATCATCATTTTCAGCAAACTCGTCCTCAACACCGTCGTCCGTTGAGTGATCAGGGACATCTTCGTATTCACGATTATGCGGATCAATGAGTAGGATGTCATCAATTTCTGCTTCAGGTTCCACGATTTCCTTGGTGTTTTCTTCTTGCAATGGTGGTTCTTCTCCCTCGATTATCCGTCCTCGAGGTGTCACTTTGATAACAGCTAACCAGTTTATTCCCGTTGTAGTAATCCGAGGGTATGGAATGAAGCAAACTTGATCTGCTTAAGAAGCTAATATGAAAGGCTCGAATTTGTTGTACCTGCAAAAATTAAGACAACAGAGAAATTATTAGTTCTCAGAACATGCATGTACGTATGTCAAAAAAAGAATTTGTTGTACCTTCGTCCACCATTGACGTCAACTACACCGTTCTTGTTAATCCGAACACCTCTGTTGACGACAGGGTCGTACCACTCACACTTGAAGATAACGCATTTCAAACCCATAGCTAGGAATTGAACTTCATAAATCTCCTGCAAGATCCCGTAGAAATCTGTTTCGCCTTTCACACATATTCCATAATTACTTGTCGCCCGGTGTCTACCATAGTCATAGGTATGAAAAGTATAGCCTCGGGTGAAATACATCGATGATGTAGTGACCTTTGCAACTGGACCTTGAAGTAATTCGCGAAACCATGCGGGATACTGNTCCTGCAAGATCCCGTAGAAATCTGTTTCGCCTTTCACACATATTCCATAATTACTTGTCGCCCGGTGTCTACCATAGTCATAGGTATGAAAAGTATAGCCTCGGGTGAAATACATCGATGATGTAGTGACCTTTGCAACTGGACCTTGAAGTAATTCGCGAAACCATGCGGGATACTGAGGATCGTCATAATCAACCTACAACAAAAAATAATATAACTAGACATATTAGACTTACTTTGTGGTAATGTATGCATAAAATTTAAGTAATAATAAATACATGTTTCCTCAACCACTTGATAAAGTGTTGATCTTTCCTTTTGTCTAACTCAGGTGTCGATATACCATGTATTGCTTCCTCGACTTGAGTCACAAATTGGCTATAAAATCATATATGTTATGTTATATATTTAATATTGAAAATATATATATATATATAAGTGTGTATGTTTATATATTTACCTTTCAAAATAAGCAATCAATGGATGCTCGCAATTAATAAGAATATAAAGGTGTGCACTATGGACGTCTTCATCACTCGACCACCAAACCTCTTTCAATTTCCCACCCAGTCGCCCAATTTGACAAAAGATGTCTGGAACATCGTCTTCCATATATGTCGGCACAACACCACCATCATCATATCTTCTTGGAGCTCGTTTACTTGTACGTACTTTCGGTGCAAAGTAGTACGATGTGAAATGTGATGTTTCTTCCGTCAAACTTCCCGCAACAATAGAACCTTCAACTCTTGCTAGGTTTTTGGCTTTTCCTTTCAAAGTTTTCATGGTTCTTTCATACTGATACATCCATCCATAATGCACAGGTCCACGAAGTAATGCCTCATACGGGAGGTGGACAACTAGGTGTTCCATGACGTCGAAAAAAGTAGGCGGAAATATTTTCTCCAAGTTGTAGATTAAGACAGGGATGTTTCATGAAGTTGTTGGACATCTTCCACTTTAAGAGTGCGGGTGCTCAGATCCCTAAAAAATGCTCCAATTCCTGTATATTTACAAAAACAAACATTATCCACATTAATATATATATATATATATGTATAATCATATCATCGTATTATATTAATTAATTACCTGAAAGTGCTTCATGTACTTTTGCCGGTAGTAGCTCCGCAAACGCAAAGGGAAGTAGTCGCTGCATGAAGACATGACAATCATGGCTCTTCATCCCGGAGAACTTTTGCCCTTTCTCAACACATCTTGAGAGATTTGAAACATANTATATATATGTATAATCATATCATCGTATTATATTAATTAATTACCTGAAAGTGCTTCATGTACTTTTGCCGGTAGTAGCTCCGCAAACGCAAAGGGAAGTAGTCGCTGCATGAAGACATGACAATCATGGCTCTTCATCCCGGAGAACTTTTGCCCTTTCTCAACACATCTTGAGAGATTTGAAACATACCCATTAGGGAACTTCACTTCTGAAGCCACCCAGTTGAACAACGCAGACTTTTTATCTGATGACAGTCTGAATATTGGAACTTGCCCATTGCTTTTTATATGTAGCTCACTCCTTGAGCAGATATCGGGTAAGTCTAACCTCGATTTTACGTTGTCTTTCGCCCTCCCTGGGACGTTCAATATAGTGTTCGTGATGTTCTCAAAAAATGTCTTCTCTATATGCATCACATCGAGGTTGTGGCGCAAAAGAAAATCTTTCCAATTTGGCAATTTCCAAAATATACTCTTGAGTTACAAATTTCGTAAAACTTTTTTGCGAAACTTTTTTGCATCTAAGTTAGGTTCTTCAACTTCATCATCATCATGAGTTACAAATGCATCACCTACCATATCATGAACCCTATCACAATCTACCATTTGTTCCTCTTGGTGATGATAGCTATTACTACTCCTACCTTCATTACGCAAATGATCAACCGGTTCAATCTGTTTAGTACTGCTACCTTCATTCCTACAACTAGCATCTTCTCCATGTTGATACCAAATATAATAATATGGCATGAAATCTCTATTTATTAAATGCTTCCAAACATTTTCACGAGGGCCTAATTTGGTATTGCAGCATTTCCGACAAGGACTGAACATCTTACCACTTTCCTACGTGAGTGGTGTAGAATCTGCTTGATGCATAAACGTCTCCAACCCTTCC